GCTTTTTTCTTTTTGCTTATGTGGTGCTGAGGAATCGAACCCAGGGCCTCATGCATGCAAGGCAAGCGCTCTACCACTGAGCCACCTTCCCAGCCCTACCCTAAGCTCTAGAAGGAGACACCCAAGAGCTGGGTCTCCCCAGGACCAGGACAGAGAGCAAGGACCCCACACCCACCCAGGACCAGGACAGAAAGCGAGGACCCCACACCCACCCAGGACAGAGAGTGAGGACCCCACACCCACCCAGGACCACGGCAGAGAACAAGGACCCCACACCCACCCAGGACCATGGCAGAGAGCAAGGACCCCACATCCACCCAGGACCATGGCAGAGAACAAGGACCCCACATCCACCCAGGACCAGGCAGAGAGCAAGGACCCCACACCCACCCAGGACAGAGAGCGAGGACCCCACACCCACCCAGGACCAGGCAGAGAGCGAGGACCCCACACCCACCCAGGACCATGGCAGAGAGCAAGGACCCCACATCCACCCAGGACCATGGCAGAGAACAAGGACTCCACACCCACCCAGGACCAGGACAGAGAGCGAGGACCCCACACCCACCCAGGACCAGGCAGAGAGCGAGGACCCCACACCCACCCAGGACAGAGAGCGAGGACCCCACACCCACCCAGGACCACGGCAGAGAGCGAGGATGCTCATATCCCCTCCCGTGCTGTCTCTGCCAGGCCTGTGAACTTTCCCAGCCATAGAGCAGAGAACCTGGCCAGGTTCCTCTAAGCAGCACTGGGGTCTGGAAACATGAGTTTGTCTCTGAGAACAAGAGGAACTGACTTTCCCACAGTTCTGGCCAAACACTGAATGAACTGTACTGCCAGGCTGTGGAAAAGCACCCACACAGGAGGAACCACTGAGAATCTAAACACAATCATGAAAAACCAGAGGCAGGCGCCCCAAAACAGAATTCACAAGGGAGTAAGGGACTCCAAGCACTGGATACACAGCAAGAACAAGTCCACATGTTAATCAGACCAGAGAGACACACTTCACGTGTGCCCCAAGGTACGCTCGCGTGTCCGGCACTCTTTCCCGCCCTTCCTCTCATTGGAGGTGGTAAAAATAACTCTTAATACTCAACCCAGAGGGTCACATTTGTTACTTTTCCTGTGTGGTTACTTAGCTCCTGAACTCGGGCACTTTTCATTTAACACCTTCCCCATGGGCCATGGGGTGGGACCCAGCGAGGGCTGGCCGTCCCCGCCCCCATGCCCCGCCCCTCAGTGTGGGCAGGACCCCCTCCACCTTCCTGAAACAGAAGTCTGCCACAAACAGCAGATTGGGTTCTGCATGTCTCCCAGCTTAATGTCTACCAGCCATAATCACAGTACTGAAAAAGCCAAAATGGTGCACAAATGAGAAGCTAGGAATGGGGGTTAACCATGACGGAGACTTGGGAATGCAATGTCGGTCAGTGGCCACCCGAAGCTGGCAGCTGGAATGCAATGTCGGTCAGTGGCCACCCGAAGCTGGCAGCTGGAATGCAATGTCGGTCAGTGGCACCCGAAGCTGGCAGCTGGAAGGGCGGCCTGCGGACGGCAGCGCGGAGGGGAGGTGCGAGGGTAGCGGCCATGCAGCCATACGGCCATATGGGCAGGATGCTCAGGCAGGAGCAGGAATCCCAGGCGGGCCAGGATGGCCCCCGGTGCCCACAGAGCACATCCGGCTCCTCCAGGGATGGTTACGGATGGCTTTGGCTACAGATACCTAGAACACCGAGCATAAACTGTCCAAGGACAATTAGATATACTCAACACGCCTCCTCGATGCTGTTGTTCTTCATCTCCTTATTTGTGTATGGATAGACTAACACATGGTACTTGTACTTAGTGTGATTATAAGGAAAAAAATAGGAGGAGGCTGAAGTTTCTTTGACAAACGACATTAGCTGTCCTGAATACCTGGGGGCTCTCGGCCAGCAGCACCTTAGGACCAGGTGTCTCCAGTGATCCTGGGCTGTCAGTCAGGGAGCGCACAGCCAGCCCTGATCAGGGCCAGTCCCCGCCATCCTGCCGGTGTAGGCCACGCCCACACCAAGCCTTCTGTCATTATTCTACAGCGTACTGCTGTCTACTGACATGGAGCGAGACGGCTGGCCAGCGGGGCCCACTGCCCAGGCATCGGGTCTCATCAACCAGCCACGGGCGTGACAGCCCCGGGAAGTGCATGCTGTTGTACACGCAGGGCGATGACATATACACCTCTCAGAGCACAGCTCCACCACTGAGGCACGTGGCTGTGCGCACACAGTGAGGCTGTGTCACTAGGCGCCCGGCTGTACATACACACACACACACACCAGTGAGGCTGTGTCACTAGGCGCCCGGCTGTGCGCACACACACACACACACCAGTGAGGCTGTGTCACTAGGCGCCCGGCTGTACATATACACACACACACACACACACACACACACACCAGTGAGGCTGTGTCACTAGGCGCCCGGCTGTGCGCACACACACACACACACACCAGTGCGGCTGTGTCACTAGGCGCCCGGCTGTGCGCACACACACACACACACCAGTGAGGCTGTGTCACTAGGTGCCCGGCTGTGCACACACACCAGTGAGGCTGTGTCACTAGGCGCCCGGCTGTGCACACACACCAGTGAGGCTGTGTCACTAGACGCCCGGCTGTGTGCACACACACCAGTGAGGCTGTGTCACTAGGTGCCCGGCTGTGTGCACACACACCAGTGAGGCTGTGTCACTAGATGCCCGGCTGTGTGCACACACACACACACCAGTGAGGCTGTGTCACTAGGCGCCCGGCTGTGTGCACACACACCAGTGAGGCTGTGTCACTAGGCGCCCGGCTGTACATACACACACACACACACCAGTGAGGCTGTGTCACTAGGCGCCCGGCTGTGTGCACACACACACACACCAGTGAGGCTGTGTCACTAGGCGCCCGGCTGTGTGCACACACACCAGTGAGGCTGTGTCACTAGACGCCCGGCTGTGTGCACACACACACACACACACACACACACACACACCAGTGAGGCTGTGTCACTAGACGCCCGGCTGTGCATACACACACACACACACACCAGTGAGGCTGTGTCACTAG